TACTTAATTAAATCAGAACAGCAGAGACAGACCATTCCTAACTCATCAATACAGATCATAAGGATCTTGCCACATGCTGCTTTAACCCTCAGGTTTAAACAGAATTATATGCCTGTGATACATCTTATTCCAGGTGGCACAGGTCCCAAAAGAAACAAAGAGTACCAACAGATCACATTTCAGAAATCAGAAGGCTAATGAGGGTGACACCAAGTACTCTTCTTCTGGACTCTGGTCCCAAGCCTGCCTCTGGGCTCCTTGCTTTGGAAGACATGGTTACTGACATAGTCCATCCATGTATCCACAGACCACTGTAAATACTCTTATTCAATTAAAGGGTTGAAGCAAGCCTACCAAACTGCTGAGGAAGGACATGCATATTAATGAACTTGGTCCTCATAAACATAAATCAAAAACCAAGGATCATCAGACATTTAAATAAATCCAGTATCATGGCAGTGGTGGTTGGAAGGGGAATAGAACCAAGATGGACAATCAGGCCATGTGTTGGACCAGGCCACGTCTTGGTACTAGCAGATGTCTGTGACCTATAAATTGGGTACTTGGACCATGTTGGGCTTCTTGTTATTTTTTGGCTGGAAAAAGAACAAGCCATTAGGTGATGAAATAGAACAAAACGGTGTCTCAACAAATAAAATCCCTGAGTCAACTGGTGAATTAGAGCAAAAAGATGAAATAATGGAGTCCCTGAAAGGGTTCTATATAGGAAACAACTGTCACATATAAAGATTTTGTTACAGTTACTGACAAAAATCCTCAACTATTGAAAATCATGTACTGATGGCCCTGGACCAGAATAATGATTGACTACCAAATTCTAAAAACCAGGACTTTGGTTCACCATATAAATTTAATAGATGTCTTTATTTCCATTTTAGAATGGAAATAAATGTATTTATTTGTGAAAAATGTATACATTAAATTTTGCTATAAAATATGATCACTAATAATATGTAATAAATATATCTTTCTGGAAAAAAGATCATTAATAACTGACTTTGAAGGAAGGAGATAAATTAGGAAACAGAAGAGAACTTAAAGTATGAATTAATGTCTTTAGAGATATTCAAATTAATAACATCCATAAAAGAATTAGTTGCTATGAGAAAGAAACAAGAAAAATTCTTGAATATTAAAAAATCATTGATGCACCCTGGCTGGCGCAGCTCAGTGGATTGAGCGTGGGCTGCGAACCGAAGTGTCGCAGGTTCAATTCCCAGCCAGGGCACATACCTGGGTTGCAGGCCATGGCCCCCAGCAACCGCACATTGATGTTTCTCTCTCTCTCCTCCCTCCCTTCCCTCTCTAAAAAAATAAATAAATAAAATCTTTAAAAAAAATCATTGATGCAAAAATTTAGTGGATAGACTGAATAACCATTTAGACCATTTCTAAGGGCCAATCTGGTGATCTGGAAAATAACCTCTGGAAATACTGTGGAATATAGAATGGAAAGATAAAGGAGATAAAATGTTGAGAAACATAAGGGGTAGACTTAGGGGCCCAATATCTTTGTAATAAAGAGTTCCAGGAACAGAGAAGAAACACAGTAGAAGAAAATATCTATGGTACATTTATGCAATGGAATAGTACATAGCCATAAAAAAGAAGAAAAATTTTACCCTTTGCAACAGCATGGATAGACCTGGAAAACATTATGCTAAGTGAAATAAGCCAGTCAGAGAAAGACAAATAACATATGATTTCACTCATATGTGGAATCCAATGAACAAACTGAACTAACAAGCAAAACAGAGAGCAGACTAACAACTCTGGGGTAGGGGATAAGGGGTCGGGAAATTGAGTAAAAGAAGGACTCATGAACATAGACAACAGTGTGGTGATTGCAGGGGCACAGGAGTGGGAGGAGGTAGAAGAGAGTATAAGGGTGATAAATAGTAATGGAAAAAATACTATAAAAACAAACTTGAAAAAAAAAAGAAAATCATTAAAGGAAAAACATAAAGACAAACAATTTCATATAATTAAGGCTAAGAATTTCTGTGAAATATCAGAACATCAAAAATAAAGAGAAAATTCCCCAAATTTCCAGAACTAAACAAACAAAAATCACCAAAACCTAAAACCAAAAGCACAAGCAACAAAAGAAAAATTAAAAGAGGCTGCATACAAAGAAGTAAGAACACCAGGAAATCTGGCTGAGAGTCTGGTAGTACCAAAAAAAAATCTGGCTGTGAATATACAAGAAAGGACACACAAGGGCACGGAGATTCAGTCTGAGCAGAGATGACTGTACTTCTCTAATACTGGTTCCACCAGATTCCAAGGAGCCAGCAGCTCAAATGATAATTAACAGTAAGGGCTAAAGAATACAAATTATTTAACCAAGAACTTAAAGCATTTATCAGCTACACATCCCCTATGAAAAAATCCATGTATCCTATATGAAAAATTACTCTAGGCAGTATTCCAGCAAAATGGAAAAAGAAAAAAATGTATGAGAAAAAGAAAAATGAGATTTAAGAACAAGATGATGTTCAAGTATAGAGGAAGCAAATAACATTTTAAGAAAAAATTGATAAAGGTAGTCTAAGATATTTCACTGCAAACTGCAAGAATTTTGTGAAAACAAAGCAAAATATATCAAGAGTCATATTTCTTAACTTGAAGCCCAAAAGGAAAGAGACGGGGCATGTATCATTTCTCTTTCCTTAAGAAATGGAGGTGCCAGGTTCGGTATACCCAGGACAATCTCCTGAACTACTCAACCTTATCTGTAAGCCTCCACAAAGCAGTGAAAATTTTTGTATTTTCTCGCTTCCTCATCCTTTATAATGTTAAATAATGCAGTTCCACAAAACTTAGGAGTCTTCTATTTATGCTATAAATATATCTACTGAAGATGACCCTAACAGAAAATAAATGATTTCTTAAATTTTCTCCATTTATTATACATAAACATATGGAAAGACATAAATAATGTTCATTTAAAGAACTAGATCATGCAGGTAGCTCAGTTGGTTAGAGCACTGTCCCAATACACCAAGGTTGTGGGTTAAATCCCCAGTCAGGGCACATACAAAAATAAACCAATGAATGCATAAATAAGTGAAACAATAAATTTATGTTTCTTTCTCTCTCCTTCTCCTTCTCCCTCCCCTGCCTCCTTTCTCTATGAAATCAATATTTTTTTTAAAATAAAGAACTAAGAAAAAAAATTAAAGAACTATGTAACCATTTCCTTCTTATGAATTCTATTTCAAGTTTCCATCATTTATTACCTGGACTATCTCAATGCCTTGTAACCAGTTTCACAGCTTCTACTCTGGTTCATTCTAGTCAATATTCTATGCAGCAGGCAGAGTAATAACCTAAAATAAAAAAATCACATTGCCCCCATGCTTAAAACCTTCCATAGACTTTCCATCATACTTAAAAGAAAATTTGCAGTTTTTATCATTGCCATTAGGCCCTAAGTGATCTGGGCCCAAATTACCATTATTCCCTTCCCATACTTCATTGGAGATACTCTTGATACTAAACTCATTTCCACCTTCAGGACCTTTGCAGTGTTTTTATTGCCTAGAAAACTCTTTCCTGATATGTTCACAGGGCCTGCTCTCTCATCTCCTCAGAGAGGCCTTCCCAACCTACTAACAGAGATTCCTCTCTGCTGTTATTCTCTCACCACTTACTCTTTAGTTTTCTTAAAAGCATTCAACATTTACATATTATATACCTTACTTACTCATTTGTCAATTTTCTCCTAAAAATGTAGGCTCCCAGAGGGCAGTGTTTTTGATTCATTGCCATATCCCACTCTACACAATAATGCCTAGTAGGTAGTAGATGTTTAATGATTATTATTTTTAAAGATTTTATTTATTTATTTTTAGAGGGAAGGGAGGGAGATAGAGAGAGAGAGAGGAACATCAATGTGCAGTTGCTGGGGGTTATGGCCTGCAACCCAGGCATGTACCCTGGCTGGGAATCGAACCTGGGACACTTTGGTTCCCAGCCCGTGCTCAATCCACTGAGCTACACCAGCCAGGGCTTGTTTAATGATTATTTATTGAATGAATGCTAAACACCTATTAATACTTCACCCAAATAAAATATAAATAAGAAAACAGAAAATAAACACATGTTCCCTTTTATCAGAGACATGCATTTGTAGATCTGGAAAACTTCTTGTAGTTCTTCTGAACCTGAGTTTAATTATTTGTCACTATGCTATCCTTCGAAATGAGGTTATTGTTTATGGCTAACAAAGCCTCACAAATTTGTAGTGCTTTTGCTAAAATAATACATTCTCAAATTGCTGCAAGCCAAGTAGATCTATGCTAGACCTGCTTTTATTTCCCAGCAGTCAATGGTTACACTGCACTGCTTCAGTGGATTCTCTGCATTGTCTCCAGTGGTCACAAACCACAGTTGACCACACTCTAGTTTTTAGATGCCGCTATCATTCATTCTTCACTTACATTCAGCTCAGCAGAGTAACTACAATGCTGGTAGACAAATGTATTAGCCCTATAGAATTTCAAGGTTGGAATGCTAAAATTTCATGTTTGAGATGGCCAGTAATGCCGGTATAAGGGAGCTAGTTTCAAATTTCCAGATGAAATAAACATTTGGGTAAGCACCACTAGACCACAGACCATATCTGTTTGTTCACCAGCCATACCCAGCTCTGGGCACAGGGACTGGTTTATAGCCACCAGTCACAGAGTGAATGAATATTAATTAAACAGTGAAAATACCTCAAAGTTGATGTAATACTACCAAAGGAATAGTAAGAAATAAATGTCAAAACCAAGAAAAAGGTTAGATATAAAAACATAATCAAGAAGCTTAAAAAAAATCTAAATCAATAAATGAGACAAATTCTCTAATGACACAATTAAGTAAAACTTATAGACAGTTGGAAAATTCAAGACATTTTTCTGAATTACTATCAAATATGATACTTAAAAATCAAAATGAGCTTTCCAATGAAAGTTAAATCATTAACTTACAGGAGTTGAAATCTTCTTTGCAGTTTCTGTGATGACTTGTTGTAGAGGTTTCCAGATCTGAAATACATAGCGACCTAAACAGTAACAAGGACAGAAGCAAACATAACATATTGTCTGTAATCAAAGTCAATACTCACAAGGTGCTTACCATAGTATTTATTAATTTAATTTATTTTATATATATTATTTTGGTAACTATTTCAAAATTCACCACAAAGTCATATTTTTTCAAATTTCTGATTTATTATTATCATAGCTATTAAATTATCAGGTTCTAGTTCTTAATTATAAAGTCAACAAAAGACCAATGTTACATTTCTGTACAATGTTATAGGTCACAAAAAAGTCTTGGTGCTCTTTCCACACCACACTGCAGATGAAGTCCTTTAACATAAAGATACTCATGAATCTAAAATGATTATTTATTACTTTTCACAGCAGTAATCACTTTGAAATATATAGAAAACAAATACAGTTTAGAAGCTATACAATATAGGAGTAATTTTAATGGAGTTAGCTCTAAAGTAAAAGCACAATTATATAGAAAATATTTACCAATATTTTATTACCAATGGCCGATAACAATTTCTTACTAAAGAGGACCGATCTCTTAAAAATTTATTTTATTTTAGTGCTTTTCTTTCTTAGACATCCTAATAAAAATTCTTGAATCCTGACAACTAAGAATCAGTAACAAAAGAGGGCCTAAATTGTTTTGGGGGCATAGAATAAAATATTATCTGAGTAGTTTATCTTTTGTACCCTAATCAGAATGACTGACCACTAATATTAGTGTCTCTCTTCCCAAAAGCCTTGGTAGAAAACCAGTTCTGACACTCTGAACTTCAACTTCTAACCATAACCTTATTTGCAAATCTAGATTTCTACTGGGAAAATTCAACTACATAGATCTTTTAGAAGGAGTTACCTGTCTGAATACACTGCTATTCCTTTGCAAACATGCTATAGTGAAAAACAGGGTGCTAGATGTGAGATGTGAAGCATCTAATCTAATTAGGAGATAAAAAGCTCTTGAGATTAAGGAGAACATTAAGTAAAATTGCAAAAGGTTGAAGCCCTAACTCATCCAAGTCTCTCATCATATAGATGTCAACTTCTATTTGATATGAAATTAAATACCACACAAAACAAAAATCTTTTTCTACTCATTTTTCTGGATCTTACTAAACTCCATATAACCACAATGGAATGTAGCTTCACCTAAAAAGAAGATTCAGTTAACAAGATCAATTCCATGAAACTTAGAGACACAAATGCTAAATTAAAATAAAAAAATGTAAATCTAACATTAAATGTAAAAGGCAATTTAAAACTCAGTTGATGACTGTAAACTCTAAGTTGAAGAAATAGCAATTTTCCTTCAAATCTCTGTAACTATTCTTTCTAAAAATGCAACTTTGGTAGTTTATCAAAGACATTACACCAACATGTTAAAATGAAGTAATAAATACACTACAGGAAACAACAGCTATGCTCATCAGAAAAAACTGACAGTGGGGGTGGGGGTAGGACTAATGGTGTGGAAGGATTGAGCAACAAAGAGGGAAAAAACTCATGAACACAGACAACAGTGTGGTGATGGCAGGGGGTGGAAGTGGGGGAGGTGGAGGATAAATGGTGATGGAAGGAGACTTGACTTGGGGTGGTTAACACACTATACAGTGTATACATGATGTTATATAATTGTGCACCTAAATCCTAATTTTGTTAACCAGTATAAGCCAAAAAAAATTCAATGTAAAGGAAAAAAAAAACAAAACGAACGAACTGACAGCTCAGGAAATGTGCAATCCTGCCTACAAGAAGAAATACATATGAGAGAACAAAGGAACCCCATATCTGCACACAGCACACACTCCCTCCTAGACCATGCCCTGCCTCTTTCCCTTCCTCTTCTTTCCCCACAGGCCAGCATCATCTAAACTCTAAGGGACCCCAGAGACTTGCAACCAGGGAAGGTATGGGCAATGCTGGTTAGTCCTGGGCTGACCCCTAAAACTGCCCCCAAGGCCTCCTCTGACTCTCCTGAGTTGACAGCAACCTTGTCTAAGCTCACTTTCTTCCCCATAATGTTTCTAGAGAGCCAAAGCAGCCCCGCCTAGTCTCTCTCCTGGTGCTTCCTCTATCCTAGGCCCTTCCTTGTTTCATTGTCCCCAGCTTTAATAAATGTACTCTCAAAATGAAAATTAAAAATAAAAAAATAAAAGAACCCCATGTCAATTACACTACTTCATAGTAAAGATTTTTTTTTTTATAATACACTATGGTCCAGACTAAAAATTTGCCACGCAGAACCACTAGTATCGGGGCTAATTTTCCTAACTTTCCCATCGCTACTTTTCTTCACCATAAATTTTATCTAGATTTTGCTACACTGATAAATATAAATGGTTCAGTGAATATAAACAGTAGAGAGAATAGAAATGCACAATGTCTTAAAGCCAAAAACCTCAGAATACTGAGTCTGCTTATGAGTCACTATAAGAGCAATTTGGAAATATGCCATAACATTTATTGATATGTATCCTTCAATTATCTTACCTGCAAATGCAAAAGCTGCAATACCCAGTCCTACAGCTATCAGGCTTCTTGCCTATGGAAGAAAAAATAATTACTTATAGTGTAACACACTGGGCTTTTTAAGTAAGTCACTTTTAATAATGTGAATAACTATGTTAAATAGTTTTCTTCAAGCTCTACTGTGAATAGAACTTAAAAAAATCTTCAGTGTCTATGAGATTTTATCTGCTGTGCACTATATCACTTAATTTTCAGTGAACTAAAATAATTCTAGATTGTCATTTGTCTTCCATATATTTGGATTCATTCTAACCTACAGCTTTTGTATTACCTATTGGTAAATGTTTTCTATAGACTATTTTTAATAGTGGGTTTAATATATTTGTTTTCTATAAATATAAAAGGCATATATTTCATCTTCCATCACACTTGTGATATTCAATGGCACTTGCTATATGTAAAAATTTAGTAAAACATTAGGTGCATATTTAGTACATAGGTCAAAGTCCAAAAATTGTTGAAAATGATAAATAATCTAAAAGTTATTCTATTTCTACCTTTTTATAACAATGTAAAAATTTTAAAACAAGAATCAAGAATTCAAGATCTAAAGTTATGAGCTAATCTGGATAAAAATTTATTTTAAATTGGTACACACTCCATTTTATTATGTGCTTTTCAGTCTCAGCCCTCCATCTCACAACTTCTGCAACAATGTGAAATGAATCCCTAGTGAGGGATTCTGTTCCCTAGTGAGATTATTCTAGCTCTAAAAAAAATTCTGCTGGATCTTATGGATTCACCTCTCACACCATGCTAATCACTTCAGGAGAGTATGTAAGTCACAACAGAAAAAGGTTTATGTACCAGAGATCAATGGTGGTTCCCCAATATCATCTCCCTTTTTTCTATGGGATCAAAAGTTCCATTTTAGCCAGCCATCTATTTCCAAGCCTCCCTTAGACTTACCTATGGATACAGAATTAAGGAGAGACATCACAGAAATGTTTCTGTCTGATTAATAGTGTGAAAGGTAAATCCCTAAGAGCCAGCAAAGCTTTTTTTAAAAGCTAGAATAATCTCAGTAGGGAATAGAATGGATTCATTTCCCATTGTTGCAGGAGTTCCAGAATGAAGGGCTGAGACTGAATGAATTGCTGAAACCAAAAAGCCCTTCAGACATCAGTCTTCAAGTTCTGCAAAGGCCGTAAGTCCAAGCCCCAAATCGCCAAGGGGAGACTCTACAATGAGAAACATCAGGTCACAAAGGACATGTATGATGGTGCTTTAACTTTACTATCCAGTAAGAAGGTGAGTACTGACATAAAGATGTTCTGTTGAGATATATTTCTGCTCTTTTCTAGAACTTCCCTGGTGCTAACATATTTTGAGTTCTCTAGTCTTATCTTCCATTGGTTCATGTTAAGGACCCTCAGTCTAACCAACGACTCAACTGTGTCACGGGTGAATTTACTTTACTTCACTACAAACTTGTTTATTTGTTCACCTGACTAGAAATATTTATCTTTGCCTCTCAGATCTAACCAATTTTTAATATTTCAGCTTGGCTCTGCCACAGAATGGGAGAAGTCATCTGTAATATGTAACAATGAGCATATACCCCAAAATATATAGAATCCAGTAACATTCAAAATAAAATGACAGACAACCCAATTAAAAAGACAAAGACTAGGTCAGGGATCTCATAGAAAAAATCTAAATGGCTAATAAACATATGAAAAGGTGCTCAACTTCAAAAGTAACTAGGGACTACCAACAATAACAACAAACACAAAATGGTACAGAACTATTCATATCAGAATATAACCATCTCTGGCCTTTATGTAACTTATTCTGTCCATGAATGAATCTCAAACACCAAACAACAGTATCTACAATTCCCAGGATTACTGTGAGGATAAAATGTAATAATTATGTAAAAGACTTAGCATAGTGGCTTGGCACATGGTAAAAACAACTAGCCATTAATAAATATAAGTGGCATAACAGAAGTATGCCACTTATACATTTAAATAGTTTTAATACATTTAAATTTATCTAAGGAAATTCACAAAAGTGGTTTTTGAGGTAGGCCCTAGAAAATGAATTATCTTCTCTAGATTAAGTAATCCAAATTTCCTCATGAAAAAAAAATGCATATTTAAAAAATACCAAGTCTTAAAAAGTTGAGTTATCCTAATTTCACATTTTTATAGATTAATAATTATTGATCTATAGCATCATTTTTACAATTTTTCAACTATTCAAAATACATGAGACAAATAGTTACCTCTATAATTACAAAGGAATTTTTACTTTAAGGTATTTATATCAGAAACATTAAACTATGAGGTATTTTCCATTTTAATCTAATAATATGTAAGGCTAAATTGTGTTTAACAATAAAAATTCAATTTAAATTAATAAATAAGAATTAAACACTCTGCTGATTATTTTCCATTTGTCTCTCTGGACATATTCTATACCCTTCTTTGCCTTATTCTGCACCTCTGCCTCCCTTGGTCTCTAAGGATTACATTATCTAGTCCTCAGCTTCCCTCTAGCTTCTGGTTGGGTTTTGCCAGAGGACCTGTGGAACAAAACACTGAACTCAGGTCACCAATCCCAGGGGAGGACTCCAAACACTTCTGTCCACTGCATCTTGGTGTCCAAGTTGCCAAGGAAACACAACATAGTCTGGTACTGGATAGAACAATGCTTTAATCACACGGAGAAGAGACAGAGTAACATCAGCTCCAACTGTGTGTGCATGGGTCCCTTATAGCTTAGTGGGTGTCCAAAGCAGGATCAAAAGGAATAGGACCAGAAGCAAGCTCTAGCGCTGCAGCAGAAGGACCCCGCTCACCTCTTCTCCACCCCACGCTCCACCCCACGCTCCACCCCACGCTCCACCCCACGCTCCACCCCACACTCCACCCTACACTGGAGTTTTAAGTACTGAAAGCTGGGGGCATGCCTGAGGGCCACTGATTACCCTTAAACAGAACAAAGACCACTCACAGAGCCTGAACAAGGAGATGATAGTCCCACAAAGGTGACAAGGCCAGTACAGTCAGTGTGGCTCCTCATCTCTCAGTAAGGAAGTGCTGGAAGCCAAAGTGGGCAGAGAGGGGTCAAAAATCTGTGCACGTAACATTGCCTTTCCCAACAGGAAAAACCAGCAGAAAAGCAAAAGGTGGAAGGAGACAGAAATAATAGTACAATTTATTACCAAGTACGTTTCCTTTTTGGATACACCTCCTGTTTATATGGCTCCTCTTCCATGCCTACAACTCTTGAGTTCTGAAACATAATTCCCATCCTCTTCCTTGCCCTTTGCCTTGGTGGATAGCAGTTTCCAATTGTTGCTGGTCCCTGACAGATTCATCATCTCTTTTGATTACCTATGCCCATACCTCTGCAAATAGTCCCTTCATTAAACTTACCTTCAAAAAAGCCACCCACCTATTACTACCATGGCCAGCACCAATACAAGCATCACACTTTATACCAGTCACTATACTATGTACAAAAGATGTAGCAACATGGAATAAAGCAAAGGCTTACATCAAATAAGCCTTGTGTAGGCCTTAAATATAGTTGGCCTCCAATGTTTATTCTAATCTCCCAAAGATCTTTACTTCTTTTTATCCTTATTATAACATTTATTGCAGTACATTATACAAGAGCCCCCCCCAAGAAAAACACCAAAATTTATTTATAAAAAATTGTGTATTTATTTGTACATGTTTAAATTTTAGTCACCTTCAAAGTACTCTCCATTTCATACAACACACCTACCAAGACGTCCCCACTGCTCAAAACAGTTTTGAGCTACTCAATTTTGAGTAGCCTTTTGAGATGCCTTTTAAGGCTTCTTCTGCCATGTTTCACATCTTCCACTTGGCAAAAGTTTTCCTTTAAGGACTTTTTTATCTAGGGAAACAAAACAAAGAGTTGCTCGGAGAGAGATGGGATGAATGGGAGTACGGTGCACAGAGCACAAGGGTCATGCTGTTTTGGTCAAAAACTGCTGAACACTAAGTTTGGTGGGTGTGGGCAAGTGCTCTCTGCAAATCCCCCATTGTGAAATGGACAAAAGCATTGAAAGAGTCTTCAAAAAACATTCACTAAAGCCAAATGCAGCCTCTCACAACAACACCAGCTGGTGCACTGATACAGATAGGTTCCTAGAACACTCACCTAGTGGGGGAAGCCTATACCACAAGGGGCCTGCCCTCCAGAACATAATTCTTGTTTTGGAGGGAGTCCCCCCTCATAGTTCAGTGTTCTGTCTCCTTTAGCTTTTCTAGATATCAAGAACCTTTTAAAAATATGATGAAATCTATAAATCATCACCACTGAAAACCACAAATATATATACACACACACACATACACCCCCCACTGGAGTCCTTCAGTTGACAAGCCTCAACATAAGAAACATCGAAATAAACAAATAAGCAAGCGAGCAAGCTCACTGAAGTCTAGGAGGGTATCTCATTCACCTTTGAGCTCTTAGAGCAAGACCTGCCACATATATTAGTTTTCCATTCATTCAAAAATTCAAGAAAAATAATGTTGATTCCAGAACTAACCTCTACTTCTAAAGACTAACTTTATAGAAAAATAAACACAGAAGGCCTTGCCACCTTTAAAAACAACAAAAAGAAACTCAAATTAGGTGGATCACTAGAGCAAAAAAGTATGTTCAATAAATGACTAAAAACTATGCAATCAAAATCTTATGTATCCACACTGAGAAGACAAAATATAGCACAGGTAATCAAAAACTCAATTCCTTATTGCAACTAAAATTCCTTATTGAAATGATATAGTGTACCTAATCTCTTTCTTCAATTGTATTTTTAATTAACTTGACATTAAAAGTTTATATTTTTTAGCATAAACAATTGATAACAAACAAAAATATATTATTGGAAACTGAGCCCAAATTGAAATTAAAAAAAAAAAAAGTTCTACACAACCAGATTTTGTACTCTGAAATAAGAGTAATGGTCCTCATAAGGGTTTCTATAAAAATACTAAAGCTCTTAGACATAAGCAATTAACT